CATCCCCGTCCATCCATCTATCCGTCTGCCCACCCAGTGGTGTTTAATATCAGTTACAGCAGCAGTGGGTGACCATCAGAGGATTCCTGTGAGCAGAGCACAGGTGGTGTGGTCCTTGCTGAGATGGCAGAGCATGAGTTCCTTGAAGCACCATGCCGCCTAAGCGGTGGAGTCTAGTGTTAGGGAGAAGTGTCAGTTGCCTGTGAATGTGGAGTATAACCAGGGTTCCAGTAGGCAGACCCAAGGCCAAGGGGAAGCCACAGGAAGGTGAATTCCCTGGGGAGCAGAGTCTGTTTCTCTGCAGACACTAAACTACCCACACGCACTGGAAAATCTTAAGCCAATTTCACAACTAATTTTCATGTTAATGGAGAGCAGACTGCTCCTCATTGTGAGGCACAGTCACGCAGAGATGTGCCTCCTAGGCTGAGCCTTCATTTAGATTACAAATGTCCCAGCTCAGTCATCACTGGTAATTAAACCTCCTTGATTGTTCTATTACACAAAGATTACATGACAGTAAAGGATTGGAACATAACTAATCTTTATCTCATTTCTAAAGGTGCGTGGAAATGAGAACCAACGCGTAAAATGTGAATGATGCTTACTCATAAGTGTGTGTCAGCTTTGGGCAGGCCTGGCTCGTGGAGACCCAGAGATTTAAGGCATCTTAATATGTAAGCATGTATCTATTTTATTCTTTCACCATGAAAATTAAACATGGTTGAAAAACACCAACCATGAAATCTCATTTATAGTAGCCAGAAATAAATTGCCAGCATTTATATTTTATAACTCATGGCAGTTCCAGAGGCATTTTTCCTATAATTCCTACAGAAATCTTTGATTCCTAACTCGCACCTATTGCCAGAAATCAAGGACCAACTTTCAGGCTACTTACTTCTTGCCTGCTAATTTCTGCTTTTTAAATTCATTTATTTTCTCAGACTTAGGTTCAATTTCCATTTCCAAGACTTCAGAGTATAGACTTGCATCAAAATCACCAAATCAGGATTTGGTTGAAAATGCAGCTTTGAGTCCCTTCTGAGGCAGCATCCCTGAGGCTATGGCCAAAGTTCCTGTGTTGAATAAGCCCAGGAAGATGCTTGTACAGGTGCTTTGACACAAAATCCCTTATGGGCAAGGGCCAATTATTACAAGTCTCTGCCTCTCCAACATCCAACCAGATGCCCAGCCAAAAAATAGCAATCAGAAAGCATTTTGAACCAAACTCTTTCTTTCTTTTTTTCTTTCTTTTTTTTTTTTTTTGTACTGGGGATTGAACTCTGGGGCACTCCACCACTGAGCCACATCCCCAGCCCTATTTTGTATTTTATTTAGAGACAGGGTCTCATTGACTTGCTTAGTACCTTGTTGTTGCTGAGGCTGGCTCTGAACTAGATCCTCCTGTCTGTCAGCCTCCAGAGCCGCTGGGATTACGGGCATTCACCACCGTACCCAGTAGGTCTTTCCTTTTTAACAGTATTTTAATAAAAAACAAAATGTCACATTATGTGGAATTCTGCTGCTCCATCCCACTTGCTATAAAACAATCCAGTCAATACCCTCAGAGCCTCTTTGATGTGACTTGCCCATATTGCCAGCTCCCCAGACCAGAAAGGAAGATGGTTCCCATGGTACCAGGACTGGTACCTCCTGGCCCTTGGTGGCCATTCTGTCTTCTTCTCTGTAGGGTTGCCACATCACCAAGTATCAGAAGCAGGTGGCCTTATCATCTGTGGAACTCTGAAACCACTGTCTTCTTTCTTTACATCAGAGTCACTCAGAAGCTTGCTTCAAAATGCATGCTCCTTCGTGAATTTCCAACTAGAGATAAGAACCTGCAAGGTGGGGTTTGGGGAATTGGGTTGTGCAGACAACACCCCATCCCCAGATGATTTTGACACTGAAGATACCTGAACTACTTGTAGAGAAATTTCTATTTAACTCAGTCCTTGAAGATGTCCCTCTACTTCCTCTTTTGGGGGGTGAAGTGGGGGCATGGCTGTGTCCCCTGGACTATTCTTGATTTAGGAGATAGGAGTAAGAGCTGCTGGGCTGGGGTGGAGTGGGGTTGAGCTGACAGGAGTAAGAGGGGGGACGTCCCTTCTTTATCAGATGCTCAACCCTGCACCTATAAACATGATACAGTACTCTTGTTTGGTTTTTGGTACCAGGGATTGAACCCAGGGGTGCTTTACCACTGAGCCACATCCCCAGCCCTATTTTGTATTTTATTTAGAGATAGGGGCTCTCTGAGTTGCTTAGGCTTTCACTAAAATTGCTGAGGCTGGCTTTGAACTCCACAATCCTCCTGCCTGAGCCTCACGAGTGGCTGAAATTATAGGCATGTGCCACTGCACCCGGCTGATATAGCACTCTTGGATGCAAGACTTAATCTGAAAAACCTTTCCTCCAAGAGCTTTTAGAGGACCTCTTGAAAACTGAGGGAGGGAGTGGAGGAAACTCACATTTTCCTTTTCTTCTTTTTAAATTTTATGTATTTATTATGGTACTGGGGATGGATCCCAGGGCCTCATGCATGCTAGGCAAGTGCTTTCCCACTGAGCCACATCCCCAGCCCTTTTTGGTTTATTTTGAGACAGGGTTGCCCAAGCTGGTCTTGAACTTGGGATCCTCCTGCCTCAGGCTCCAGAGAAACTCACATTTCTTGAGTATTTTTTCCCAGGAACATTAATTAATTAACATTAATTAATTCCCTGCCCACACCCAGGCAAAGGTACCTGCTTCAGCTGCTCCATACTCCTGAGGGCACTCAGGTCCCCTTTCCTAGAGTAGAGCCTTTACCTGACCTTACAGCTCAGTGTGGATTGCAGCTTTCTTCCCCAGACAGCCTCTGCTCCTCAGAGCTGACTGATTTTTTCTTTATCTCTCCATCTCCCAGCCCACACCCTCAAGTGCTGCTCAAATTCAGGATCCAGTTGGGAGGTGTGCAGACAAGGCCCACCCTGGCACCTGGGATGTGCTCCCTGAGAGGCCTTTACCAATGGGTGTTGGCTGTGCGGCAGCCTGACCTGCTTAGAACACTGCTTCTCTTCATCGCAGCCTCCAGAATTACATTATTACCCACAGATCTGTGAAAAGCAGAGACAAGTCATTTCTCCTAATATACTCTCAGTTTTCCTGGAAGTTCTGTTGTCTTGTAGGAGCCGACTCACAGGCCGTCTATCAAGATCATATTTCTCCTTGTGACGCCCCTGTGCTATGGCTTCCAGTCTCATCAAAGCCGTGAAAGCTAATTTTACAGCAGTATTTCTGAACATGAAAGAAGGAACCATGCATATAGTTTTGGCCACCTGAGGCACCTCGGGGGCTGCATTTTGCATGAAGGCCAACCAGACCCCTTCAACACTCTGACTTTGGGGTGCTGGGAATATGGGGGCTTTTCAGAAAGTTTAGCAGCATTTTTTTTTCTGGTTTCTTGAGCCCAGACTTTCAGAAAAGCCCCCCCACCCCAGTGTCTCCCACTGCCAACCCATCTTCCACCTGCTGCCACAGAGATTTTCCTACAACCCAGATTGCTTCTTCTTTTTCCTTTAGAAAGAAGGTAGATCTCCATCTGGTTGTGGCTTCCAAGGACTTTTCATCTACGTCCAGGGCTCCGCTCTGTAGGACATCCGTTTTGTCCCAGCCACGCTGAACAACCGGCCCCTTAGAACAGGACTCCCTGAACTCACTCAGGCTTGACTTCTGCTGTTCCCTGCTCTCTGACTGCTGTCTTTCCCACCTGGGCCTCTTGAAATCCCACCTAACTCTCAAACCCCACACCCTGAGGCCCAGGTAGAGATCACTGGATGGGATCATCATTTACTTGGCTTCATCATTTACTTGCTGTGTGACTATGGGAAAGGCACTCCCACTCTGAGCCTTAGTTTGTACACCTTCAAAAATGAGGACTGCGTCAAAGGATGTCTAAAGAAGAGAAGACCAAATCCCCAAACAGGTTTCACCTTCCAGCTCAGTCCTCTGAACCACTGTTCCCTCCCTTCTCACCCAGAGCCAAGAACACACTGAATTACCAGAGCTAGAGAGTGTTTGTTATCACCCCACTACACTTGGAGACTTTAGAGGTCAAGGGCTGATGCCTCATGCCTGGCACTTAGGAGCCACTTGGATGAGGGGTTAGTGTATCTTCTTCTTCACAGTGAGACCTACACAGGGCCATTGCTTCAGTGTGGTGGTGTGGAAATAAAGATGCTCAGAGCTCAGAATGAACCAGAACTATAGGGTCTTAAGCATGGTACATTTTATCTCCTACTCTGGAAAGGAAGGACGGTGATGTATCTACAGAGACCACCCTATCTCATGGGGCTGCTCAGAGGATTCAGTGCACTACTGTGGGTAAAGCCCACGATCAGTATTTTTGGGAGGTCAAGAGCTTTTGGTTTGGACCCTCCCCAACTTTGGCCATGACTCCCCGGGTGAAACCTCTGAATGCTGGTTCATCGGTTTTGAAGACATTAGGAACTGTGGCCCAACTGTCTCCTGACCCAGGGGAGCAGTGTGACTTTCACACCTCCTAAGCACTTTCGTTTTTATAGACAGCTTTTTCCATAAAATAATAATACACGAATTATATTTTATGATGCATTGGTATAAAGATGAATATAATCCTGGCTGTGTTCATTCTTATATGTTGCTTATTATTCCGCTCATTTTCTTCCTGCTGTTAAAAAAAAAAAAAAAAATTCCTGCTGTTAAAAAAAAAAAACTGTGGCCCCAGACACTAAAGCCACAGATCCTGATGCGAGTGTCAGAATCCTCTCACCTCACCAGCACTGTTTTCATTTTTCCAAATGTCTTTGCAGTTGTCAATGTCAGGCTTTCTAAAGTGCCTCTCCCTTTTCAAGCGGAAGCTGCTCTGATCAGGAAGGCCCGCCCCTGAACCCTGCCAGCCCCGCCCCAGCCCCGCCCCTGGCTGCAGGCCCCGCCCAATCTAGCCCCAGGTCTAGACCCGCCTCTTCCGCTAAGCTCCGCCCCCAGAGCCTGCCTAGGCCAAGGCCGCTCTGCGCATGCGGGTTCGGCGGATCCCTGCCCGGGAGTCTCCAACTGGAAACAAACCTTCTCAGAACCATGTCGCGGCCTTGTCAGCTTCAGGAGACCGGCAGGTAAACCGCTCCGGCCTTGGCACCTAGCCGCGCTCGCAGGCCTCCTCGATTGTCCCGGGCGCCTCCCAGGCCTTTAGCTGCAGCAGAGTTTGCGGCTCTGGCATCCCGGGCCATTGTCCTTGCACCTGGGCAGTGCACAGCCCCAGGCGCTCCACCTTCCCCTCCAGGAGCTGACCGGCCTCAGCCAGCGTGATTCACACAGGCGCAGGTTTGCTCCCGACTGTGGGGACAGAGCGCTTTCCCCTTTGCAGCCGGCTTCTCCCTTCTGCCAACCGCGTCTCCACAACTAGACCTCAGGTCCTCTGATGACAGCATCGTTCCCTGATGGCTAGTCCCTTAGTGACCTAGTAGCTATTCCCTAGTGTCGCTGAACCTGGACGCAATCAGGTTCTCACCTGCCGGGCTGCTGCGAGGATTCTGTGAGAAAAGAGTGGGGAGCTCCTGCTGCCAGCCCTGCCCAGAGCTGCTGTTGGTGTTTTCCTGGTGATTTTTCCAAGGGCCAGCCCTACAGTGGACAGACATGTTTTTGCAGACTTTTACCTCCATTGATTCCACTGGTCAGTTCTGGGGGCTTAAGAGCTGCCCTTGGAAGGGTCCTTCCCCACTCCATACTGGCCCCTTTCCTTTTCTGGACAGAGTCCTATTTGCAGGAGACACTCTGAAGTCCTTTGCCAGTGATTGTTTTCCGGACGTTGGTCGTTTTTTCAATCGATGGTGTTGCCCAACCACATTAGTGAGCACCCTGCCACATAAAAAGAAGCATAAAGTAGCAAACAACTTTTTATCTGATGATGATGACATTGGTAACCAATCATTGAGCATCAGCTGAGTGCCAGCCTTAGTATGTGAATGTCACTTAATCCTCATAAGAACACTCAAGCATGTCACAGATGACAGCAAGGGTTAGAGAGGTTATTTCTGTACCCTGTTAAACCAGTTCTGGCTAACTTACACATCTGATTTTGCTCACTATGTAATACAGCCTTCCTACAGAAAATTAAAACCAATGTGTTCATTTTCTAGGGCTGCCATAACAAAGTACAGCAAACCAGGTGGATTAAAACAACAATTTATCCTCTGGTTCTGACGTCTAGAAGTCCAAAATCAAGGTGTTGACAGAGCCACGCTCCCTCTGAAATCTCTAGGGCATACCTCCTTGCCTTTTCCAGCACCTGGGGGCTTCTGGCATCCCTTGGCTTATGGTGGCATATTTCCAGTCCCTGGGTCCATCTTGACAGGCCTTCCCTGTGTGCACCTATTTCCATGTTGTCTCCTCTTCCTTATAGGCGTAAAATCACCAGGGAGATTGTATCATAAGACCCTTTGTTAATTGTATCGGCAAAGATCCTATTTGAATAAAGTAATATTCTGAGTGCATATGAATTTGGGGGGAACAGTATTCAACCCAATACATAAAAAGGACTTGTCAAAAGGACCAAAACAAATCCCCATGAAAAGGGCACCATTTGTGGTTTTATCCAGACACGAGTTCATTGTCAGGGGATGGTTCTCAGCATACGTTCCCCTATTCTGCAGCAGCATCTGCAACACCCTTTCTTGGGAGTTTGATAAAATGCTAATTCTCAGGCCTCACTCCAAAGTTACTGAGTTATCAGTAGGGGTAGACCCAGCAGACTGTGTTGTGAGCAGCCTTCTAGGTGATTCTATGGCTTCTCAGTTGAGAGGCACCATTACAAGACTTAGGGTATGGTACCTTGACATGAGGGCCAGGAAAGAGAAAATGATCTAACCTTATAATGACCTTCTTAGTAAGCTCATCTTGTCTGAATATAATTATGGATTTCAAAGTTCAGCTTCTGCATTATTGAAAAACCATTTTACCATTCTTTAATTTTAGATTTTTCAAAGTAAACTCATGTTCTTAACTCTGTGCTTAGTAGTTTTTTGCTTCATTCAATCTTACCAAAAATCATGCTATTGAAATATTAGTATTTCTGCCACGTTGTTGACAAATCCCCTGAGACTCAGAAATGGTAAACTCCAAGGCACACAAAAGGATAAATATAGGCAGGACTGAAAACTTTCTGCCATAACTCTGGTTACTGAAATGTTTGGTTTGTTTCCATTTCAGAAACAATTTGATAGATGATGCGAAAGCCCGCTTGAAAAAGCTTGATGTTGGGACCAAATATGATCACTTATCGTGTCACAAATACTCCATCCTTTTGCCATTATTGGTTAAAGAAGGAAAACTGCACCTGCTGTTCACCCGCCGGTCGGAGAAGGTAAGTGAACAAGAAGCTGTTGCCATCATCTCAGGATGTCTGAACACGGCTTCAAGTTTTGCTACTTGTGCACAGTTTGAAGACTTGATTCTCCAATGAACTTTCAAAATCATGATGTTGGAAGGGTACAAGAAGCCACCGGATGGGGCTTGGGGGAGGGGGAGGTTTTGGAAAGAAAAATATGGAATTTAGCCAGCATTTAATTTAAAATATTTTTGACTAGTGTTATCCTAGTCGTGGTGCGTTGACAGTGTGGGCCAGATGACTCTGTTGGGGACCTGTCCTATGCACCGTGGGATGTCAGGCCTCATCCTTGACCTCTGCTCTCTTGATGCCAGTAGCACACACACTTCTGTGGTGGCCACAACTGTCTCTAGACCTTGCCTGCCACCCTGGAAGGGATGTGGGGGAGGGATAAAATTACCCCTGCCAAGAACCACTGTTTTAGGCTGAGCTCACCCCAGGGATGATGTGAAATATTGGAACGTGCAAGTTAGCAGCCGCGGCCCTAAAGCTAGCTAGCTGCCCACGTGAAGGGCAAGCTCTCTCCTGGCCCATGGTGTGACTTTGTCCTAGTTCCTTACCCTCTCTGTGCTTCTCTCTCTTCACTGTAGAATGAGGACAACATATTAATTCCTCCTTCGAGGGGCTGCTGTGAGGGTTTCACGGGGTAATAATTGCAAAGCACCTAAAACAGCCCTGGCACTTGGCAAGAATTCTGTAGTGTCAGCTGTCATTGTGTCAAGTGGCAGACATGGCCTGAAATTTAAGATAAATGATTTCACTTGAAAGGAAGGTTGGGCTGGGAATAGGGTTTCTGGCTTACCCCTGCATCCCTGGGTGCCGTCATCCTGCCTTGCTGTTGGGGGAGGAAGAATTGGGGAAATGGAAATTTCAAGATTATCCAAGTACAAAAAGAAATGGATCATGATACAACTGGGCTTTTTAAACAGAATGATGGAAAGTATCTTGTTAGAAAAGAAAGCAGAGCTGAGGTGTTTATTGCACACCTGTGGACTTGGAAGGAGACACATGTGGATTCTTTCTGGTCTGGGCCAGACATTAATGACACAAACACACAGCAATAAAAATCCTGAGGTTCCTGAGGGAGGGGCTTCACAGGGATCTGTTCCCATGTCTGCCGGTAAGCACAGGCCTGGCACTTAAATATATTGTTTGAATTACCAGACAGACAATAACATAGAAGATCTAGGTAAGACCAAACCCTCAAGCTGGTAGGTCTCCTGTTGCATTAAGAGGAGTTCTGCCTTTGTATGGGAGCCCAGGGAAAGGGAAAGGGAAAGGGAAAGGGAAAGGGAAAGGGAAAGGGAAAGGGAAAGGGAAAGGGAAAGGGAAAGGGAAAGGGAAAGGGAAAGGGAAAGGGAAGGAAGGAAGGAAGGAAGGAAGGAAGGAAGGAAGGAACATTTTCAAGTCCTTCCTGCTGATGAATTGGGAGCACCACAGGTATGGCTCCCAAAGCCACCTCCTCACACATGCTGTCATCTGGGCTCCTTCTGAGAGCAGGGAAGGGAAGGTGTGGTCCTGCCTTGTGACCTCACGCCACCCACCCAAGAGGTCTCAGAAAGCACAAGAAATAGACCTCTGGTTACAGCACCTTGAAAAAAGTGATTTACGGTCAGTATATTTAACTCCAAGGCAGCTGGTGACACGGGCACACTAAAATCTGTATTCTAAAACTAAAATTAAAGGTTTATATCACAACATTTGTAGGGATAAAGTAATGCTGTCCTGACACCCCTTCTCAAGACCATTAGAACAACGAGGTCGCTGTGGTGAGTGAGCAGGCAAATTGGCAAATAAGATCAGGCTGCATCAGCTCCAGAATTCATTTTGTTTTTTATGTGGACCTGATTTTAAATGTATGTTGAAAGCATCTCAAGGAGATCTCAGAGCATACCAGCTCAACTCAAGTGGCTTTGTATGCCTATTCCAATTAATAGGGAGTAAAGACCGTTTGGGATCTGTGCTAACTCTACTCTTAAGAAAATTTTATGCTGTTTTGAAATTCCAGATGCCTTTCTAAAGCTGACTCTTCACAGACTGGCTTTGCTAAAAAGGACTCTCAATGCAGAAGCTCTCAGTCTCTTCTTCTGTAATACTATAAAACTTTTATTAAACAAAACCTTATGAAATTCTACTCAGAAGCCAACTAAAGTTTCAGCCCAATTTCCTAAGACTTCAGTCTCTGTGCTGTTCTTGAATTTTCTCTTGCCTGTTTCAAGCCCCAGAGAGCTGGGAAGGAGGGTGGGGAGGAAGGTGGGGGAAGGGGATAAGGCACAGCAGAGCCCTGAAGCCCTGAAGCAGCGGCATCGTTGCCCAAGGCTCTGAGAGGAGTCTGGTGGACAAGGTGGACCCCAAAAGGAGAAAAGGAAAACACAGATGGCAACAGCCATCATGGAGGTCTTCTGGCATGCCAGAGCTGTGCCCACTCGGCTGCCCTCGTTTCCCTTCCACACGACACACTGGGCAGTTTGCAGTCTCCTTTTAGGGGTGAATCCTGGGGTAGGAACTGCTCCAAGCTGCAGGGCGAGTGGGAGGGCACAGATCCAAGTCATGTGGACAGATGATGGGAGGCCTCTTCCCCATCCTCCAGGAGGAGTCTCCTGGGATCCCAGTTATGTGACTCCAGGGAGCCAGGACCTCTGGCAATGAGTGCCTCACAGGGCATCTCTTGCCCAGGCAGCCAGATGAGGCTTACATCAGATTCAAGTAGATTTAATTTCAACATGTGAATCTTGGGGGGACCCAGGCATTCAGACCACAGCAGGCATCTTGTTTGTTCTTATGCAGCCTCATCAGCCCCATGCAAGGGTGCCATCATGAGCCCTGGGCGGAGCTCCTAGCCTTGGAGAGACTTTAGGGCTTCTCATGGTGAAGTAGCTAGCACAGGTGGGACCCTTTCGCACATACTTCAACCACGTCACCATTCCACGGTTCTGGGAGGGGCACACAGTTGAGATGCGGCCAGGAATCTTGCTGAGCTGAGGTCTCATCGACAGTTCAGTGCAGAGGACACTGGGCACTGCATGGGGGTGGGCATAAGGGAAATTAGGGTCAGTTTTCTGGGAATTTGGGTCCTACAGAAGCGAGAAGGGTGGAAGGACTGTGCCTCTATCCCTGCTCAGGACTTGAGAGAAATCATTTGAGACAGATGAGAAAGAGGGATATATTTAGGATGCCACAGATGGAGACATACTCTCTTCTCAAATTCTCCTAAGGTGGAGAAGGAATGGAATTGGGGATGGGGTGGAAGGGGCAATAGCGGGCCAGGAGGGACCCCTGTTCTTTTACAAGATACACAGATATGCTGCCACAGGTTTCTGTTAATGACTCCAGTGACCGTATTTTCTGTATCCTAATAAACTCTTGATGAATTGAAGGTGTGTTAATTAAGAACCCAGGTGCTAGAATTAAACCTTGATTTACATTCCAGCTCGTTGTGTGAACCTTGTCAGGTTGTGGAACCTCTTTGAGCCCTAGTTCCCCTGTATGTCCATCCATGAATAGATGTGTGGGCAGACTGAAACACATGTGCATAGTCCTTGCGCCAAGGGAGAGGCAAAAAAGCCACATAGGACTCCATTCACATAGAACATCCCAACTGGAGAGACCCAGAGACAGACAGTTGGCGGGTGTTGGGGTGAGAGGTGATCACCTCTTGACAGGTAGTGGATTTCTTTTTGGGGTGATGACAATATTCTGAAATTAGATAGCGGGTGGTTGTACCACACTGCCGATATATTAACTATCACCGAGCTATTCACTTTTTTTGCGGGGTGGGGAACCAGGGATCTAACTCAGGGGCACTCAACTACTGAGCCACATCCCCAGCCCTATTTTGTATTTTATTTTAGAGACAGGGTCTCACTGAGTTGCTTAGCGCCTCTCTTTTGCTGAGGCTGGCTTTGAACTCGCGATCCTCCTGTCTCAGCCTCTTGAGCCTCTGAGATTACAGGCATGCTCCACGCACCCAGGAGCTGTTCACTTTTAAATGCTTTAATTTTTTATTATGTGACCTTATTAAAAATACTTTTAAAAAAGAGTGGTTTATAGAGCTGAGGACCCAGGGAGGAAAGTCCTTGTTGCCTAACACGCGGTGAGCACTTTAAAGGACTTGGCAAAGTGCTCCGTGAGTAATTTTGCCCTTTATAAAATTATCCTTCCTTTCAGCCTTTCTCCATCAACGTCAATCTGTTTGTGTAGGTGGTATCTTTTGGGAACAGGTAGAGAAAAATTAGCTGTGAGGGGAATTCTTTAGAATTTCTTTTTCTTTGTTTAAGGATTCAAAGAAATGCTTTTCATGCTTTTTCTTGCTCACCATCTAATGCCCCTGGGTAGGGATGGTGGGCAGAAGCTGGGTAGGCATCTGCTGAGTGAGGGAATGGTGCCACCATGAGATCCACACGTCACCTCTGTTCTCTCCATGCCTAGCTAAGAAGGTCACCTGGAGAAGTTTGCTTCCCTGGAGGAAAGAGGGATCCCACGGACAAGGATGACATAGACACAGCTCTGCGGGAAGCGCAGGAGGAGGTGGGGCTGCGTCCTCAGCAAGTGGAGGTCATCAGCCGCCTGGTGCCTTATCTGTTTGACGTAAGGATTCTCATCCCCTCCTGGGTAGCCAGGGGATCTGCCGCCTCAGGATCCCACACTCCACCAAGTGACCCCAAAGAGTGCTGCCCAAGAGTTCACAGACTGGGTTCTTGGGTGGACTTTGTCATTTGTGAGCCCAGTGGCCCCAAGCCAACCCTTCTTTCCCTCCCCAGAAGTGAAAGGGTTGAGCTTCATCAGTGAGTTTCAGACCAGGTGCTGTGGATGCTTCAGAATTATTTCATTAACATTCAATTCATATTTACTTTGTTCCAGGATACATTTATTTGGAGAATTTGCTTTTAAAAAAAAATACTCCAGTGTGGTATGTAACAAATATTATCCCTGAGGAAACCAGGGCATTACCTTTACCCTATGGGTACTTGTTTTTGCAGTTGAGCAGAGCCCTGAGCTGGCAAGTTGTAACTGCATTTTTGTTTGACTCAGGATCTCCTTGATAGTATAAGCTAAAACAGCATAGACAAAACCAAAAGGAATTCATCTTACATCACTGTGGGACATCTGTCACAACTAAAGAGTCAGTGTTAGTACACGATTGCTAACTCAGTCCACGTTTCATTTGCTAGCTTCTCCTGCTGTCTCTGGTCTGTGGAGGGTCTCATCTGAGATACCACATTGGATTTGGTTTTCACGTCTCCTTGGTCCTCTGGTCCATGATAATTTTTCAGACTTATGACTTTTTTGAGGTGCACTGGTCAAGTATTTTTGTAAACCATCTGATGTTTTTCTCAAGGTTGAACTGGGGTCATGGTTTGGGGGAGGACACTGCAGCGCTCAGTGCCCTCACCCCAAGATAACAGACGTAGCTTTAAGTTTTTTTTTGTATTTGATATATATTGAGCTTCCAGGTATATTTTTATTTCGAAAGAATGATCCCATTCTGCTTAACCGCTAAAAAGCCAGTGGCTTAGTTTGGCTTTTGTTTTCCATTTGGCTTCAAGTGTGGGTGGAGTAGTGTTGTGAAGGTCAGTGATTCTGAGACTTTCTCTTAATTAAGCCCATTTGAAAAACAGGAAGGTTAAGGTTGTCACTCAGAAGAGGTTAGACTGGAAGAAGCTCATGGCTGCCCAGTAACTGCATGCACGGTCTTGTGTGTGTGTGTGTGTGTTTGTGTGTGTGTGTCTGGGGCAGGGTGTTGGGGTGGGGGAGGGCAGTTTACATGGGATTAGGTAAGAAATGTGTAATTTACTCCAGTTGTGTCACCCTCCCTCCCTCCCTCCCTCCCTCCCTCCCTCCCTCCCTCCCTTCTTTTTTCAATAGTGTTTTCTACTGCGTACTCTTTTTCAGTTGATTTTTGCAAATCCCCTAGCACATTTTAGGGATTTATTTCAGAACACTATTGAGACATAATGTTTAAGAGGTCCCCACGCGAGAGCAGCTTCACTTCAAGGCCCTCGGGAGCTACTGGGTTCACATGCATGGGTGGGTGGGGCAGTGTTCACTTCTTGGGAGACGATGGGCTTACAGGTGAAAGGTTTGTTGGGCTCCCATTCTGGAGGTCTTGGTGGAGGACCTTTCTTTGGGCCTGTGGCAAGGTGGGACATCAAGGCAGGGTGCAAATGTTGGACAGGTACTTGCTTCTTGGCAGCGTGGGAGTGAACAGAGGAAGGTGGAAGAGACAGAGAGCCACAACCCCTTCGATGCCCCCAATGACCTAACTTCCCCTTAAAGCTTCGGCCACCTCCTGGTAGCGCCAGTGGCTGAGGCCCAAGCCTTCCACCCGGGCCTCTGGGACTCATTGCAGACCCAGACAAGCACAGGACTATGTGGAGTCTTCAGGGTATTTCCAAAATGTCTCCACTGAGAAATTGGGATGAACAAAGGCTGTAAAGAAAGGTGTTGGGTGTGAACGTGCTGGGGCAGGTTGTTGTGTGTTCTAGCCCTTTCTTACTCTAAGCTGTATCACAAGAAACCCCATTTATCAATCACTTATGAGCATCATCTGATTTGGTGGGTTTTTGTTTGTTTTTGTTTTTTAGTACCAGGGATTGAACCCAAGGGTGCTTAGCCACTGAGCCACATCCCAGCTATTTTTTATTTTTTATTTTGAGACAAGGTCTTACCAAGTTCTTTAAGGTCTCACTAAATTGCTCTGCCTGGCTTTGAACTTGAGATCCTCCTGCCTCAGTCTCCCAAGCAGCTGGGATTACAGGTGTGGACCACTACACCTGGCTCAGTGGTTTTTAAACTGGAGTGATCTGGAGCAATCTCCCCCCATCCTAGGGACATTTGGTGATGGCTGGGGATATCTTGGGATGTCACAACTGGAGTGGGTGCTGCTGGGTTTCCCCTCCCCTCCCTCTCCCAGGCAGGCTGTGGCCCTCTGGCCCTCTTACCAGCTCCTGTGTCCAACTCAGTCCTGGCCTCAAGATTCCCAGGACGGAGCATCTTTCACCAAACAGAACTCATTCATTTGCAAGCACTTGTGGATATAAATAGAAATCCCCCCACCAAAATATAAATATGTATGTTATGAAAAAATAATTTATATGTCATTATATATAAAATTATATATCTTATATAAGACATATATTACATAATTATATAATATATCTTATATAATTATATATATAAAATCATATATATTATGTAATTGCCCATAAATGGAAATATGCCACAACTAGTATGTCACTTTTCTGCTGATGAGAGAGAATTCCTTAGTCTTAACTGCGAGGGAAAGGTATTTATACATTCTTTGCTGCATAGTATTCTAGCATATGGCTATAACCACAATTCATCTAATGTAAATATCCAAGAACTGAATGAAGACCAGCAACTCTAGAGGCCAAGGCTGTTGCAAGTAATGCTTCTGCTTTGTTCATGCATCTTTTCCTGCTGAGAGGAATTTATAATGCAGATACACTCACACACATGCAATTCCTAAGCCACAGGGATCATGTTTTTGTAAGTGTCATTTTTACACTATTCTAAACAGATGGTACCAGTTTTCATACCAGTTTATGTTCATGACACATAATGTTTTCAGAGTCATCTCACAGATGCCTCCTCAGGTCGGGCAGACACCCACCATTACGTGAGGGATCTAAGTTTGCTTCTAGAGCAAATTCTTCCCCCTTCACTACCCAACTTTGTAACTGATGCCCTTGGCTTACCTAACATAGAAGTGGCAAAGAGTTTGACATTTGAAACAATATCATTGCCCTTCTTAATTGGTGTATTTTGTTTTCTGCTTTTAGAAAGATACACTGGTAACCCCAGTGGTGGGTTTTATAGACCACCACTTCCAGGCCCAGCCTAATCCTGATGAAGTCAAGGATGTGTTCCTGGTGCCACTGGACTACTTCCTGTATCCGAAGGTCCACTCCCAGAAGTACATCACACACTCTGGACATGGTTTTATTTTTCATTGCTTTGAGTATACAAATCCTGAAGATGGGGTGACTTACCTAATCAGGGGCATGACTGCAAAACTTGCTCTATTGGTTGCCTTAATTATTTGGGGGGAAAAACCTAACTTTGAGATAGAATTTAATCTCGATGATGTCATAGCATCTTGTGAAAAGTCCTTCCTTCATAAATATGCTACAAGCCAGCTGTGACTTACTAGATCAAAATCCAAAAACTAGCCATAGGTCTCCGGGGTGAGCTTATGCACAGAGCATCAGAAAACACCAGGTATAGGGATCAGATAGATGTGAACGACTGTCCTGCATATGAAAGTAAAATCCTTGCCTTTTTTCCTAGTTGTTTTCTATTGATATCTATCTGGAAGAGCAGAAGTCTTTCAAGAGTGGAAAGTGTATTTACAGTGTCATTTGATTTCCCCCACAATATGCTAATGCTTTCTTAAATGCTTGAGAGAGAGGATCTGGCACATAATAAGCTCTGGATAAACGTGACCATGTGGCATTTGTCTTATGTGTAGGACAGTGTCCTTTTTAGTCTGTTGTTAGATGTGGCTGAAGCTTGGTGGCTGTCAGCACCTGCCCTCCCTTTCCTCCATGGCAGGTGCCCCAGGGGCAGCAGCATTCCCCAGGATCCCTGCCATGAAGTGGGCCTCTGGGACTTCATTGAGGCCAGTATGATGGAGGTGGGCGTTGACCCTGAGGTTGTCCCCAGCTTAAGAGACAAGCCACTCTGTCTCTCCCATGAGCTGTTCTATGGGCTTCTCTGCAACCCAGTCTTCACTGTATAGATAAGGAAAATTCCAGGGGCGGGTGGCAGAACCAAAAGATGGTCAGAGCTCAGATCTTCGAATGAAGCAATCGTCCCACCCGCACTGATGCTTGGGATGTGTTCCAGGAGGGAAGAATAAAATTCTATCATCACTCTGCCACTGGAATTTAGGGTACCTTTTTCACATGCTTGCTGTAACCCTAAGTAATATTCTGTAACACTTGAATATGGCTAAATAACCATTTGCCAAAGCTTAAGGGGTTTGTTACAAATAGCACTTGGCATTCCAGTACATAGGTTCTGTGGTGTATATACACAGTGCCCTCCGCGGGCCTGGGGGTTTCATAGATGTCAGCTAAAACAGCCAAAATCCAGAACTCGAGAAGCCAGTACACCTACTGATTGGGAGAGGGAACCGTCTATGTCTCATGATGATGAGGGCAGAAAACCTGGTTCCAAACACGAGCCCCAAAGTGAAAGTCGAAAGATAAACATTCCGGACGGACTGCCTTGAGATCCACCACTTCTGCGGGCATCTCCGTGAACCATGCTTTGGAGTCAGCAGGAATGCCTTTGCTTAATCATGACACTGACTGACAGTGTTGCGTGAGGTCAGAGAAGCTAGCGACTAAAGCCGCACAACCACAGCTCTGGGGTGGCAGTCTCACGCCTTGCTGAGTGTTACTTAATTATTAGGAAGCCAAAGCATTTTTAAGTAAGACTTTACTCTTGCTGAAACCGCGATACCATCAATCTGCCATGCAACTGTCCACAGCTGCTGAGTTTTTATTTTCTGAAAGTTGGCAGAGGCAAAGACCCATTCCCCTCCCTGCTCTATACCCATAAATGTTTCAAAGGCATAAATCTAGCTGCAGCCTTGAAAGCAGATGTTGGGTAGCCACCCCATTAACATTCTGTAACTAGCCCTCCATGAGCAGCCCCAACTGTTTCTGAACAATTACAGAGGCATTTGCAAATGTGTATTTACAGTCTGACAGTGCCATAATTGCTGGGTAGATGGCTGACCTCTCTGGCAATACAGAAAGCCACCCTTCCGAACTGTTTATTTACATGAAGTGCACAGATCCTCCTGGCTTCTGAGAGGAGATGGCCCAGCTGAAGTCTGCAGTCTGAGCGACATTTGTAGATGCCCAGTTTACAGTGCTGAATACTTAGCAGTGGAGATATCATCTTTTTAGCAGTGTGTTTTATGACATCTATGTTCAGGGCTCTAATTAAGCAACAAATCTGGATCAAATGAAAGAAGTTATTGGCAAGGTGCAGATCTCAGGGAATCTACAAAGCCCCTGAACAAATCAACTCCAAGAAGGACAGCAGTGGGAGCCAATGCAGCTGCTACCTCAAAAAGTAGAGGTCACAGACCTTCTCTTTGCATCCTGCCAATGTCTGTTAGAATTGCCTGATCAGACAGACAAGCCACAGAAACTCAGTGAACTCAGTGCCTTAGTCCCCAGTTCCTTGGAAAAGACTCCCTCTGGCTTACTGTGGGGTCACCAGGGAGGTTTCCAGTAACCTGGGAGGCCTTTCAAGGGCGAGGGTCAGTGTGGGCTAGCAGACAACCCAAAGCATCTTCTTCTAGTCCCCACTTCTGTGAATGGATTCTGTGATCCAGATTCTCAGCAGCCCTGTAGTGTTGGTAAAGAAGTAAAGAGCCCTGACCTGGAATCAGGATGCTTAGGTGTGAAAACTAGCTCCCATTCTGTGACCTTGAGCAAGTTATCCCTCCTCTGTAGACCTCCATTTCCTCTTTGGTAACTTGTAGGAATGAACTTTCTGTTCTGGCCTGTCAGGGGATTCAAAGAGTAACACAGGATCCTTTCACTTAAAGCACTCCCAGGGGCTCAAGGATGATTTCCTGTTGCCTATTAATTATGGCATTATCGTCACTCTACCACAGCTGCATCATTTTCCCACTAGGGGGTTCTAGAACTTTCTCAGGTCACTGAGCCCTTGGCATCTTAGTAGTTTTTTCCAAGGCACATCGAAGTCAAAAGAGACACCTAACAATTTTGTTTATTATGTAGTTAGATCCAAATAACATAATAAACGTTTATCTCCTACTAACTTGGAAGCCATTTAAAAAGATACACAGAAAGAAAAATACTGTTTTCATTTCAGTCTTAACCACGATTGCTCACTGAAGGGTGTGTGCACCTGCTGGGCTTAGAAGTAAATATGAGAGCTAATAAATACAGTCGTATGGTAAGATAAGCCCACAGAAAGAGGGACCCTAGCTCAGATCTGGGACTCAGGGAAAACATCTGGGAGGGGGCAGTATCTGAATTGAGCCTGGTGAACCAGGAGATGCCACCCTAGTGAGTGGGTGGTGGTGCCAAGCCTGGGATCAAAGTGTACTGAGCTGCTGTTCTGTACCCAGTCCTTCCCTTTATTCCATTTACCCTCATACCAGTTCTCTGTAGTGAGGACTATTGCTGTTCCTATTTTTTAGATAGGACAACTAGAAGGTCAGAGAGGTTGACTGTTTGCTCATGGTCACCCAGATTGTAAATGGCAGAGCCAACATCAGACCCCAAATTATGAGTTTCAAAGCCCATGCACTTTCTCCTCCTCCCACTCATTCCGAGATGCGGCAGAAGGGAAGGTTGAGTTCCCACTTCCCTGGCATCGCCTCAGGTGGGAGGGAAAGTAAGGGGGTGAATCCAGTGCACTGGGTGCACAGTTTATTTTTGCCTTAATCATGTCCTCCGGCCTCTTCAGCTGGCATTGTACACAGCAAGATGAGTAATTAGCTAGGATGATTTTAATTAAAGTGGAACATACCAATTAATAAATGAAGTGCTGGCATACTTGCTAATTTGCCAACTCAGTCATGATACCGGGTCCCCAGTTAAAGATCAGTTGGGAGCCATCCCTCCACCCCTCGGATGAGATGATACAGCTCGAGTTTTGCTGTTTCTCTTTTTCATTTGGTTTCTTGAGAATAACATGAGATCCTGATAAAACTGATGCGTGATCATCACATGGTCCAGTTGTCTTAGCTGTGACACAGTTGTCTTAGCTGTCACATACTTGTGGCCCCCAGTGGGGGCAGAGCATATGCTCAATTCAGAATTCCTGATTGCCATCCCATCCCCACCCACTCCCCTCCCTGTGTAGTCCCACTGATGAACATAGCCCAGACTTTGCAAGTTCATCTTCTGTGTACATATCTTCAGCCACCCCTAATTTATACTGTGGACACTCCATTGATCCTTTGCACACCTGTAGTGCACCTGTGTATCCTTATGTTTGTCCAATCTGACCCTGGAAAGGACAGATCCACAGACCATGAGATCCTCAGTCTGACTTCCCCTGGCCTCAGGTGAGTGGATCAGGGGTCACGGACTGACCCAAAGGTAACCTTTAATTTGATGACCAATAATCTGTGACTTGTTTGGTCTCACATAAGTGACCTGAGTCTGTAAGATGGTCCCAAAGACTTTGACCTCTACCGGAACATAACATACTCTTGGGAAATATTTGGAAGTGAGCCCAAGAAGTCGAAGTCTAAAGGTTTGTTGGCCAATAATTGGTGGAATCGTGTCTTGGCTCTGAGCAGCAGTTGCCATGTGAGAGATTCCACCCGATGCAACTGGATGGAGAAGAAATAGTTCCTGAAGCAACATAAAGATCCTTTTTCAAGTTCCCATACTCAAGTCTGTAGGTTTTTATTTTATAGCTGTGGACTTGGCGTGAGATTTTCCTTGACTGTGACTTTCCTCTTTCTCCATGTTTGCACGTCCTCAGGCCTTTATTCCCTACTGTGCCATGGTCCACAGGCATTTCTGGGTCATTTTTCTTTTCACTTATTATCAATGGGAAACTTTTAAGATTTCCTCTGATTATTTTCTTCTCACTTAACTCGTGTCTGTTTCTCCACTCTGGGCTCTTTCCATGTCTTTCTTCCAGCCTTGAGCTTGTCTTCTGATTCTGCCACATTTCATGGATCCCAAAAGACGTTCTGAGAAATTGCCTACATTTTTCTTTTTTGACTATAAATCTGTATGGCCTACAATCAGGCTCAAGGATATACTGAAAATAGGGGGAACGTTTTTGCTAGAACTCTTAACCTGTTGTAAACATGAATCAGTGCATCTTAGTGAATTGAATAAACAGCCCCCAAAAGACACATCCCAATCCTAACCTCATTTCTGGTGAATGTGACCTTTTTTGAAAATAGGGTCTTTGCAGATGTAGTTAAGGATTTTTAGATGGGATCATCCTGGATGCCGAATGGGCCCTAAATTCAATGACGGGCATCTTTATAAATGGGAGTGTTATGAGAAGCCACTTCAGAAAACACTCTAAGTCTGAATTTAAATCAAAGAGAGCTTTATTGGCCAGGGACTGTCACCCACATGTAGAGACTGAATCCCTGTGGGAGAACAGCAATTTCCCTGTCTTTACCTTCATCAGTTAAGGATAAAAACCACAAGCCTTGGGAAGTTCTTAGCATGCGAGCTAGCCGTCACAGAAGCTAAAACAGCAGTTAGTGGAACTTTAGAGCCCCTAAGCAGAACTAAAGACCCCCTAAGGTAGATGTATG